TAAAACCTTCTGGAGGTCAAGTGGTTATTTGGACTTGGTATCAGCCACTTTAGAATAGGAGGGCAAGAAGCAGCGCAAGAAGCCCAATCAGTTCATGAGCTGACAATTGTTCACGCACTGATCAGCACTGGGTGGGTCTTTGATAGCTTGAACTCAGAGAAAGTGGGTTGAATGATTTTGGCCTTCATTCAAACTGGAAGACTAAAGGCATCTAGCGGTGGAAACGAAGTACTGCAGGGCAGTTCCAAATAATTATCTAATAATAGGATATCATTAAATTTTTTTATAATTTATAATTTTTTTGCTGAAGTTCTGCTTTAGGGCACATTCCACTTTAGGAGTTGTTTAAATAACTTGTGAGCCACTACCTATTTTTAACAAGGTGCGTCAGCACAAAAACATTTACTCAATGTGTATATATAAAATTTCAAACAATGGTGCCGCGCTCCTAAATAATATCATATACTTAAACTATAATTTTTCAAAAATATACATTAGTGATATAAGTCCTTTGTGTTAACGTGAAACAAAATATATCCAAATAATAAGTGACCATTAAATCTACTATAAAAAGTGATCAGTCCAAACGTGAAAAATTCAAAAGTGAACAAATCTCCATTCCAAGTGACTTCTTATTGTGATCTCTATATGCGCTCACCTCCTTTGATGCCTACTAAAGGCAAATCTCGCTTTTGTTCACCTATTGGAACTTTGGATCATATATTGCATCATAACAATAATGGTGAGCATCTCCCAATTGCTGCTGGAACGTGACTCTCCTCTTATTCACACCACCGCAGGAATCCCTCGTTTAATCTCCTCCCAAGAATTTTTCCTCAGTATAAAGAAAACATAAACATAGTGCCTTATCCTTACATTAAAAGACCTTTATTGTGTGCCCATATACACTCACATATATTAAGAATATAAAGCATTTTAGTTAAAACATCCACGATCTCTTACAGCCAGCGTGTCTGCCGTTCAGCGTATGTGCCTGCCTTACTTGGGTGCCGGTTGACATCAAGGCTCCTCCCCTATGCGTTACGCTGCAGATGACGCAGCTTCATCAGGGGGATATCTCCCTGAAGCTGCGTCATCTGCAGCGTGACGCTGTTAGGGATCCGGGTATGACCAGAAATGTGTGGACTGACACAGGGAAGTAGCAGGCTTCAGGAACATAGGCGTAGTCAGGGCTGGAGAGGTGGAATGGTCAGGCAGGCCGTTAGGTACTGTCAGGCACCGCCCGGCGGGATCTCAAGTACCCACAGAACGGGATTCCCCAGGGCGCGGAGTCTAAGCCCCAGTCTGCCTTTTCACCAGAGCCCCTGGTGGTGGAGATGGACTTGGCGCAGGACTGAGACCAGGTCGCGGCCCCTGAGTGCACCCAACTGTGGTAGAGGGGTCCGCCGAGGGTATGTACCGTGGGAAAGCCTGACGTGAAGAGGCTGGCAGACTTACTGACAGGGAGCGATCCGTGCGGGATGGATGGATCGTCTGGGTAGCATGAGGTGTAGTCAGGCGGGCCAGGTCAGCAATGTGCGGGCAGCGAGGTACCAGAGGAGCAAGCAGAGAATAGTCAGGGTCACAAGCCGGGTTCAGTAACTCATGGGAAGCACGGTACAGAGGATCAGGCAGAAGGATGGTCAGGCAAGCCAGGGATCAAGCAGGAGAAGTCAGCAGAGGTCAGGATCAGGCAGGGTCGGCAACAAATCAGATAGTCAGCAGAACAGGAACACAGGATACCAGGTACAGGGGCTCATAGGAAACAATACACCAAGGCGCTGATCACAGGCCTGGTTCTACTTAAATACACCTCCTGCAATTAGCTTCAGCTGATGGCTGACTGCAGGAGTGAGCTTCTGGTTGCTGAGAGCACCCACTGGTCAGCCCTGGTACTGCAGCCCACACGGTAGGTGATTCCCACCACCAGTGCTGAGTCCATTCCTGACAAACGCGTAGGGGAGGAGCCTTGACGTCACCCGGCAACCCAAGGAAGGCAGGCACATCGCTGAACGGCAGACACGCTGGCTGTAAGAGATCATGGATGTTTTAACTAAAACGCTTTATATTCCTAATATATGTGAGTGTATATGGGCACACAATAAAGGTCTTTTAATGTAAGGATAAGGCACTATGTTTATGTCTTCTTTATACTGAGGAAAAATTCTTGGGAGGAGATTAAACGAGGGATTCCTGCGGTGGTGTGAATAAGAGAGGAGAGTCACGTTCCAGCAGCAATTGGGAGATACTCACCATTATTGTTATGATGCAATATATGATCCAAAGTTTCAATAGGTGAACAAAAGCGAGATTTGCCTTTAGTAGGCATCAAAGGAGGTGAGTGCATATAGAGATCACAATAACAAGTCACTTGGAATGGAGATTTGTTCACTTTTGAATTTTTCACGTTTGGACTGATCACTTTTTATAGTAGATTTAATGGTCACTTATTATTTGGATATATTTTGTTTCACGTTAACACAAAGGACTTATATCACTAATGTATATTTTTGAAAAATTATAGTTTAAGTATATGATATTTTTTAGGAGAGCGGCACTATTGTTTGAAACATTGCACTTTAGGAGTACATGTTGTCAACCACTCTTATTGTGAATGTATTATACTTATTTTCTTTCAGTTATTGGCAGATGAACTTTCATACACATGAATATTTCTTATATAACCCGCTTTTTTATTTTTATTTTCTTCACAGCTGATTTAACATTCCATGAACTATTCTGCTATGACGCTTACATAGTGTCTGCACCATCACCACAGAATGTAAAGCAAAGGGAGATTGATGAGTATATGACTGAGAATATTGTTTAAACGTCTTGAATCAAATGGATTTAAATGTTACCTTGGATCCAGAGACATATATGGTGGTGAACATGTTATACCAGCCTTGAGTAAACCAATTACTATAATCCCAACAACTATTGTGCCAGTGTATAAGGACAAAGTTTTTTCTTCATTTCGGAACTTACTCCTCAGAGTGGATTACTTGGATAGGATTGTGCTTTTGACATTTGATAAAACGCAGATTGATCCTCCAGCTGTTGCTAGGAATTGTTACTCGATTGATGTCAAAGACCCCAACTGCTAGCAAAGCTGATGAAAACAATTTCAACAAAGACAGAGCAGATACCAATACTTGCTAGGAAAAGAAAACTTGAACGGAGTAATTCAGGTAAGGATATGTTTGTCACATATTTTGAAGAAAGTAATTGATTAACTGGTTCTACAAAGTGACCCAATGGCAGAAAAAATTGGATCATTTGAATGCCTAGAGCTTTTGTGGAGCCCTCAGTGGCATTAATACCACATCCAAGATTTTGGCCTTAATATCAAGCTGCATTGAAGGAATGTTAAAATGACATGTGATAATGCTGGTCTGAGAGGCCAATTTAGCATATTCTAGGCACACTAAAATAGCTTATTTTTTATGGTGAAAAATGACATGTCCTTGATTCCCTCAGCGATCCAGTCACAGGCTGAATATAGAGATTTGACTTCTGTCCATGCTACATTTAATCTTCATTACTTCTATTCTGACTCCAACTGTTGTATTAGTGCCTTAACCCTTGCTGAGACCTCTATGCCTGACCTGTATAAGCAGATACAATTACCGCGGACAGTCTTTATCAGATAGCTGAACTCACCAAACACCGGTTTTCTCTTCCACAAAAATCATTATTGCATGCAGCAGTTATAGCAGACAACAGATGAAGCAGATGATTGAAAAAGACAGTATTTGCAGGTCAAAACATGGTAATGTGTTCCCAGGGGTGAGCAGATTAGAGGTGACCTAAATATTAGCAGCCATATTGATCACAATAAAGACAGAGTGAAAAGGAAGCGGAAATACAGTCAGGTCCTTAAATATTGGGACATCGACACAATTCTAACATTTTTGGCTCTATACACCACCACAATGGATTTGAAATTAAACGAACGAGATGTGCTTTAACTGCAGACTGTCAGCTTTAATTCCGGGTCTTTTGGTGTTGCTGAGCTCCTTCTTTTTAATAATGTTCCAAACAGTTGTTTTGGCCACGCCTAATGTTTTTGCTATCTCTCTGATGGGAATTGTTTTGTTTTTTCAGCCTAATGATGGCTTGCTGCACTGATAGTGACAGCTCTTTGGATCTCATCTTGAGAGTTGACAGCAACAGATTCCAAATGCAAATAGTACACTTGAAATGAACTGTGGACCTTTTATCTGCTTCATTGTAATTGGGATAATGAGGGAATAACACACACCTGGCCATGGAACAGCTAAGAAGCCAATTGTCCCATTACTTTTGGTCCCCTAACAAGTGTGAGGCACATATGCAAACTGCTGTAATTCCTACACCGTTCACCTGATTTGGATGTAAATACCCTCAAATTAAAGCTGACAGTCTGCAGTTAAAGCACATCTTGTTTGTTTCATTTCAAATCCAATGTGGTGGTGTATAGAGCCAAAAATGTTAGAATTGTGTCGATGTCCCAATATTTATGGACCTGACTGTACATCACAAAAATGGGAGGGAACATAGAGAATAAAACAGTGCATGATCAAAATATCCACAAGACGGCAGTATCTTAACTAACTAAACCAGGCTAATAAACAGTGGCTTAAGGAAATTAACCGCTTGCCGCCCTCCCGCCCTCCCATCTGCAATAATCACTATGCGATCACATGATCACAATGTTAGCAAAGCTGTTATGAACCAATCTGATTCATAACAGCTTTGCTTCTCTTCCTGGTGAGCTGTGATTGGCCCACAGCTCTCACATGATACATGGGGCCAATCACAGCACCCTGTACCATGTGACCAGCTCCAACCAATCACAGATCACTATTATTTTGAATTGTCATGAACTTAACTCACTCATGACAGTTCAAAGCAAGCTTTGCATTGCAGGAGCACCGATCAACGGAAAGAGCCAAAGACATCGGCTCTGTCATGTGATCAGCTGTGTCCAATCACAGCTGATCGCATGTAAATAAAGAAATGCAGGTTATTGGCATTCCTCTCCTCAAGAGCTGTCACGCTGACAGCTCGTGAGGAGAGGAGAGCCGGTAATCGGCATTTCTTTATTACATGCGATCAGCTGTGATTGGACACAGCTGATCACATGACAGAGCCGGTCTTTGGACATCGGGTACATGTACACTGATCATCAGGGCACTGATGATCAGTGTGTCCTGATTATCAGTGTAGCCCCATCAGTGCCACCTGTCAGCGCCCATCAATGCCATCTGCCAGCGCCCATCAATGCCACCTGCCAGTGCCCATCAGTACCACATCAATGCCACTGATCAGTGCCTACCAATGCATATCAATGCCACATATCAGTGCCCATCTGAGCTGCATTTCACTGCTGCCTATCAGTGCCAGTCAGTGCCGCCTATCAGTGCCAGTCATTACTGCCTATCAGTGCACATCAGTGCTGCCTGTCAGTGCCACCTAACAGTGCCAGTCAGTGCCAGTGCCAGTCAGTGCCGCCTGTCAGGGCCTCCTATCAGTGCCACCTATCAGTGCCATATGTGAGTGCTGCCTTTCAGTGCCCATCAGTGATGCCTGCCAATGCAAATCAGTACCACCTACCAGTGCCTCCTCATCAGTGCCCATCAGTGCAGCCTATCAGTGCCCATCACTGCAGCCTCATTAGCGCACATCAGTGAAGGAGAAAAATCACTTATTTACAAAATTTTATAACAGAAACTAAGAAAAAACTTTTTTTTTTTAAATTTCCAGTTGTTTTTGGTTTGTTTAGCAAAAAATTAAAAACCCAGAGGTGATTAAATACCACCAAAAGAAAGCTCTACCTGTCTCAAAAAAATGATAAAAATTTCATATGGGTACAGTGTTGCATGACCACGCAATTGTCATTCAAAGTGCGACAGCGCAGAAAGTTGGCCTGGGCAGGATGGGGGTATAAGCACCCAGTAGGCAAGTGGTTAAATGAGCTTCAACATGATTATTCTTCAGCAATGGAATCTTGCATGGTGAGCATGCATACAGGCCATGGAGGTTGAGTGCATTACTTATTGTTTTCTTTGAAACAATTGTACATTTTAATTCCTTTCTGAATCTCTCCACAAGTGGTCCTTTGCTTTTGGACAACTCTTCTGGTAGTTCTTTTCACTCCAGTGTCAGAAATCTTATGAGGAACACCTGGTTGTGACCGGTTTATGGTGAAATGGTGTTCTTTCCACTTCCAGATTATGGCCCTAACAGTGCTCATTCAGAAGTTTAGAAATCCTTCTGTAACCAATGCCATATGTTTTGCAATAAGGTTGTGAAGGTCTTGAGAGAGCTCTGTTTGTTGTGTGACACCTTGGTAATGAGACACCTTTTTATAGGCCATCGGTGGAGCTGATAATAATTTGCATTGACAAGGGGCAGTATTGCTTTCTAATTATTGATAGATTTCAGCTGGTGTCTTGGCTTTCCATGCCTTTTTTATCTCCATTTCTTAAAGTGTTCAATACTTTTTCCCTGTGATATTCCATTTCATAACACATAACTTAATTTCTGAACTTATTTGTTTTGGTTTCTTTGTATGTATGAATTGCTTGAGTTGTTACATGTGGTGAAAATTTAATGTCAATAGCACCTGTTAATTCCTGTCTGTAACCCGATTGTCCTTGAATATTTTTAAACCTTCTGGATTCAGGAGAAATAAAGCTCCAGACACCAAAGTGTGCAAGCTAAATCTCTGAAAGTTTAATGCGTGCAAGCAGTTTTACACAAAACAAGAACGACCAATGAAATATTATACTCTTATCAAAGAAGATAGAAACTACAAATGGCTGATGAACACCATATTAGGTAGTTCCGTTATACTGAGAATAAAAAACTAAAGTCAGGAAACGAGAGAGGTGTTACAAGTTAAACTCAAAATCAAAACGAACTGTTCCCACATCTAAAATGGAAGCATTATACAAAATTGATGCCAGTTAATAAGACATATTTCCTTACAGTTCCTCCCATTTGTGACATAGTGACAACACATCAAATTTCAGAGTTGTTGTTTCCAAAATGCATCCTGGGTTCTCTAAAAACTTGTTAAAAATGCATATGCAAAGTTTAGCAACAACATAGAACATAAATATTAGTAAAAACAAATCAGCAGGTTACTTTCTTAAAACATCCATTCAGCCATCTTCGGCTATGGATCGGGCTAGAGCTCGTAAAGCATTTACCTGGGCTCTATAATTCTCAATGACTTCATAGTAGTCTGGAATCTCAGTAGATGTGTTCTGTATCCATGTACAATACTCATAGTCAGTCAGTCACATAGACCGGTCAATGCTGCACCCATTTGTTCTATTTTCATTTCATTTATGAGCACCTGTTTTCTTAATGTCCATAGTTCAACATTCAAAAGATTCACTTCTAGTTGTGTTTCATTTATAATCTGATCCATAATAAGGGAATAATTGTTTAACCTTCTCATCAATTCTACCCCCCACCCAGCCCATGAAGGGAACCATGACCAGACTTGGTCTCCTGTTTTAAACAATTCCTGCTCATGCCTATGTTTCAAAGGATATTTGGATGACTGCTAGCCAGTAAAGCATTTCTGTGTGTCCCTCCCATGACATCCATTATTGGTACCAAGGTGGCTAAATAACACCATACTTCCTGTTCCTGGGGGATCCATGGATAACAAGTTTTCCCACAACATACCTGGACTCCTTCAGTAAAAGCTACTGATTTATTTACAATGCTTACATTTGGGTTACGATAACCAACTAAAGCTAGATTAATAAAACCTCGGCCTAATCCATAATATTTTCTGTGGTATGCATTGTTAGTAATATTTTCTATGTATTTTTTCCATCTATTCTTAGTAGTGTTTACTTGTACAAAGTTATCATCCTCAGGTGCTTTCCCAATGACATCAAGTTTAGACTTACTACAAAATCCTTCTCCTTCATTTGATTTGTTGCCTAAATGAAAACACCATTCAGGTTCCATCATAACTCCCAACACTGCAAATGTAGGCCTTGTAGTAACATTTGTAAGGATAATACTCAGATTACCAATAAACATTGATGTCACATTTTTTGATGCAGCATATAAAGGAATGTTCATTGTTTCAGGGTGGAGCATACTACAAACCCAACAACTCTTGAATCCCGAGAGTTTGGCATAACTATACTTAAATCTCAACAATGACATATTTTCTGTCAATGACCTTTTCTGCTTCTTTTTTATTAGTCCACTGTCATTCACAGTCTTATTGTTGTGGCCTCAGATTGGTGGCCATTCTTCTGGGTGATAGTAGCAGTAAGCCACTGAAAAAGTTATCACTGAGAGACAACCAATCAAAAGAAAATTCTTTTAGGCTGTCTCTGGATGAAGTAGCATCCGGAAGATTGGAGGGTGCTGTTAGGTCTGTCTCCTTTCCTTGTTCCAGCTGTTGCTTCTGGTTCTTTGGTGGTTCTGGGATCCTCTTTACTCTAGAAGCATGTATCCAGACATTGGAATCAGCAGTCAGAACTGTGGTTCTCGTCACAGCCGTCACTATGGTAGGTTCTCCATATGGCTGATCTGTGGTCTTGTGTTTGTGAAGTTCCTTAACCACTACCCGATTTCTTGGCTTGTGCGGGTGAGTAAGATCATTTGTGGGAAGAAGAAATGAAAGCGAGACATCACCCTATACACAATTCAACACCCGAATCAATTCCTGGACATATCTTTCCTGGATTAATTCTAAATCACCTGGCATAGCTACCAAAGGGCCTCTTGTCCAGGAGGTGGGGAATGGCCTGCCCATAAGAATTGTAAAAGGGGAAAGTTTGGTGACTTTATTAGGTGTCATCCTCATCTCAGCCAGAATAGCTGGCAGGTACGACTCCCATCCCTTAAATGTCCCGCCTGTTATCTGTTGTCTTCTATTAATGATGTGGATGGATGATGATGGCAAGTGTATATTTATAAATGTACTTTTCCCGCAGCAGCTAGTCCAACAGTTCTTTTCCAGAGAGATGCATTTATTCGGCCCAGAAACAATTCATAAAGCAGAGGTACAGATAAGGCAGATGACAGGGTATTTAGAATATTCATGCAACCATCAAGCTCAGAGGGCTCACTTTCTATATATATAAAATTACAATATCCCTACATGGCCCCACTTGAATCATTTTTTTACTCAGAACTGATTCATGGCTAATCAAACTACTCACACCTTCCTGGTTCTTAAAATTGACAGTATGTTTACTGTTTGGTTTATTGCAAACTGTTTATTGTTGTATATTCCTATACCGTTCACCTGATTTGGATGTAAATACCCTCAAATTAAAGCTGACAGTCTGCAGTTAAAGTAAATTTTATTCATTTCATTTCAAATCCATTGTGGTGGTGTATAGAGCCAAAAATGTTAGAATTGTGTCGATGTCCCAATATTTATGGACCTGACTGTAGTTGCTAAATTAGGGGGTTTACCCAACATGTCTTTCAGGTGGCTAAAACTATACACACTACAAAAACAATTTGGAATTTATTTCCCACCTGACTTTAAAAAAAAATAAATCACGAAGACTTGTCCTTGGAAAAACAAAAATATGCCATGGTCCTCCAATAATGTCCCAAATACTGAGGCCAAATCTCTGAGAGCAGTAGCTCTCTTAATGCATACCAAAGAACTTTAATTGGAAAAACTCATACCACATGCCCAACTGTCTATGGGCTATCAACAAAATGGTTGTTCATCCCAGTGTAGTATCTAGGTGTAAATTAGGACACCTCAATTTTCAGCTTTTTCAGTTGCTCCATAAATTGATGTCTTTCTTTCTTTAGCTGACTAATCCATCATGGCACCAGGCCAGGCGGGGCTAAAGATGGAGATTATTTAAATTATTGGGCTCTGGGCTAACCAGACACATATTTGAGCCAGTGAGACCTTGATTTTAACTTCATTATTGGGTCCCTCATGGGGAGCTTCCTTATCTCACAAAACCACTGCCCTTACATGTCTATATGAAACTTATCATTAGACCCATCTCTTTTCATTTCCAGGGGACCATTCGGCAATATTTTCTATGAAAGGGACTACATAATAATCAACCCATGGCGCTGATGATTTTACAACTTATAGAGCGGGTGTCATATGTGGCTCTTTTTCACCTTTTGCGGCTCTGGGTGCCCCCTGAAAACAAACATGGGAATGTAGCTTCCTTATCACTCCCCTGAAGAACACACGGCGAGAGGAACTGCCCTTATCATTCTATAGGGAGGAAACTTATCATTATGGGGGACCCATCTCTTTTCATATCCAGGGACCATTTGGCAATATTTTCTATGAAATGGGGGGACTACATAATAATCAACCCATGGCGAACTGTGGCCCTGATTAACGACTTTGCTTACAGGGATCCCTTCGAAACTCTGATCGCATATTCCTTACAACTATGGGGATCACCTAGA